AGACCCCATCTCTAAATTAAAAAAAAAAAATTAATTAAAAAAACAACAACAACAATATTTTGTCTTCCAGGAAGATGAACTGTAATGAATTTTATTTTTTATACACATACATATTTCAATTGAGATGAGGTCTCACTATGTTGCCCAGGCTGGTCATGAAATCCTAGGCTCAAGCAGTCCTGCCACATGTGCACCCCTGCACTCAGCTTGCAATAGATTTTATTCTATATTCAACTGTGGGGGAAGACTGTATTGGAATCGACTGACTACAATTCATTGGTGAAGAACTCACTTACAAGACTTAAATGTAACCTCAGCCCAATAACAGTGATTTTACAATTAATTCTAAGTCTTGCAGGCCCTCAAAATATAGTGCTGGTACTTAGTAGAGAACATACTACAATAACTTCTAATGAAAAGTGACAAAATAAAAATATACCTACTTTAATTCAAGTTTTAGATTATGTATCATTTATAGCATTTTATTTTCTATCTCCATATCAAGATCACTTACAGCTTAAGAGGCAAGCTAAGTTAATGTTTCCTAACCTTTTTTTTTTTTTTTTTTTTTTTTTTGAGACAGAGTCTTGCTCTGTCACCCAGGCTGGAGTGCAGTGGCGCAATCTTGGCTCACTGCAACTTCTGCCTCACAGGTTCAAGCAATTCTCCTGCCCCAGCCTCCCAAGTAGCTGAGATTACAGGCATGCACCAACATGCCTGGATAATTTTTGTATTTTTAGTCGAGACAGGGTTTTCCACATTTGCCAGGCTGGTCTCAAACTCCTGACTTCAGGTGACCTTCCCACCTCAGCCTCCCAAAGTGCTGGGATTACAGGAGTGAGCCACTGTGCCCAGCCTTCCTAACCATTTTCATGGCACATACTCATACAAAATGATGGGTCACATTTGCAGAACATACTGAAGTAAGCAGATAATGCTGCTTCAAGGGCCCTACAAGTTGTCTCAAGAAAGATGGGTACAACTCTAACCTGTTCATCACAGAAAATTCTACTAAGGTATTCCTTTATCAAGGCAAACATCTGAAAAATCAGGGCAGACACCTGAAAAATCAGGGCAGACATCTGAAAAATCAGGGTAGACATCTGAAAACAAGGGAGAAAAAGCATCTTCTAAAAAAAATCAGATAGCAGCAACATATTTCAGTCTTAAATGGAGATATTCAGAAACCCTGTTGATACTCTCAAATATAAGAACAGATCTAGCTGGTCAGGTGTGGTGACTCATGCCTGTAATCCCAATATTCTGGAAGGCTGAGACAGACATATTACCTGAGGTCCGGAGTTCGAGACCAGCCTGACCAACATGGAGAAACCCCATCTCTACTAAAAATACAAAATTAGCCAGGCGTGGTGGTGCATGCCTATAATCCCAGCTACTTGGGAGGCAGGGGCAGGAGAATCACTTGAACCTGGAAGGCAGAAGCTGTGGTAAGTCGGGATCATGCCTGGGCAACAAGAGCAAAAATTTGTCTTAAAAAAAAAAAAATAGATCTAGCTTTTAATACTGTAATTTCTCTCTCTGGCTAAACGCTCCATGTTAAAAGATGTATACACAGACACACATAACCTAGACACATCCTAAAACAAGCCAAAGTGGAAATCAGCTTCTGTATGTGAAAGGTCTTTCACAATTCCACAGAAAAGTTCTTATGAATGGAGAAATTTGTCATGTTAGACAAGATCATTTAAAGAGAGAGACATATTGGCCGGGCAGAGTGGCTCACCTGAGATCAGGAGCTCGACAACAGCCTGGCCAACATGGCAAAACCCCGTCTCTATTAAAACTACAAAAAACAGGCCAGGCACGGTGGATCATGAGGTCAAGAGATCAAGACCATCCTGGTCAACATGGTAAAACCCCATCTCTACTAAAAATACAAAAAATTAGCTGGGCATGGTGGCACGTGCCTGTAATTCCAGCTACTCAAGAGGCTGAGGCAGGAGAATTGCTTGAACCCAGGAGGCAGAGGTTGTGGCGAGCCGAGATAGTGCCATTGCACTCCAGCCTGGGTAACAAGAGCAAAACTCCGTCTCAAAACAAAAACAAAAACAACTACAAAAAACAGCCAGGCATGGTGGCGGCTGCCTGTAATCCCAGCTACTTGGGAGGCTAAGGCAGAAGAATAGCTTGAACCCAGGAGGTGGAGGCTGCAGTGAGCTGAGATCATGCCACTGCACTCCAGCCTGGGCAACAGAGCAAGACTTCAACTGAAAAAAAATAAAACAAAAATGAAGAGCTCCTAAAAATTAGCAAACGATGAATGCCATTGAAAAAAAAAACCAGGAAATTAAATTCACAGAAAAGCAATGCAAAGGCCAACAAACATGTTTATATATAAAGTAGGGAAACACAAATATAAAAACTATTTTTAACATCAGATTTGTAATATTTATTTTTTTATTTTTATTTTTTTGAGGTGGAGTCTCACGCTCTGTTGCCCAGGTTGGAGTGCAGTGGCGCAATCTCTGCTCACTGCAACCTCCGCCTACCGGGTTCAAGTGATTCCCCTGTCTCAGTCTCCCAAGTAGCTGGGATCACAGGCGCATGCCACCATGCCTGGCTAATTTTGTATTTTTAGCAGAGATAGGGGTTCACCATGTTGCCCAGGCTGGTCTTAAACCCCTGACCTCAGGTGATCCACTCACCTTGGTCTCCCAAAGTGCTGGGATTAAAGGCGTAAGCTACCGTTTTGGGCCAGATTTGTAAAATTAAAAAGACAAAATATCGAACACAAGCATTTGAGGTAATCTATTCTGATAGTGAAGACTAAACCACAATAGTACAGCAATCTAACAGTATCTATTAACTATTTAAAGATTTAACTTCACATTTCACAACCACTACTAATAGGAATGTTTCTAATACCAATACACTGAAAATTACCTCAGACTGAAAGCCACAGAACTAACATTGGAACAATTTAAGGCAGGACTGATTTAAAACAAGACCTCCCAGGAAAGAATGCTGCCCCAATACATTGGCTAAAGGGTCTGATTGAAAGAATATTTACCCACAGCTACTCAGGAGATTACTTGGCATCTCTTGAGGTCATGAGTTTGAGGCTACAGAGCATAACTGCACCTGTGAATAAACATTGAATGCCATCTGGGCAACATAGTGAGACCCCATCTTTCTCTCTCTCTTTCTCTCACACACACGGGCACGTAAGTCATTTTCCGTGATGTAAGAATAAGGTTAGTGTCATCTATCACCAATACTTCAAAGTACTATATGTGTAGTATAATATCAAAAGTAAACCATACTGCAGGAAAAAGATAAGCATTAATAAAAAAAAGTAGACTGGGCACGGTGGCCCACATCTATAATCCTAGCACTTTGGGAGGCCGAGGCAGGCAGATCACGAGGTCAAGAGATCGAGACCATTCTGGCCAACATGGTGAACCCCATCTCTACTAAAAATAGAAAAATTAGCTGGGTGTAGTGGCACGCGCCTGTAGTCCCAACTACTTGGGAAGCTGAGGCAGGAGAATTGCTTGAACCTGGGAGGTGGAGGCTGCAGTGAGCCAAGATAGCGCCACTGCACTCTAGCCTGGGTGAAAGAGTGAGATTCTGTATCAAAAAAACAAAATAAATAAATAAATAATTTGATTTAATTTTAAATATTTGATAATAAATTGTCTAATCAGGCGGGGCACGGTGGCTCACGCCTGTAATCCCAGCACTTTGGGAGGCTGAGGCAGATGGATTACCTGAGATCAGAGTTTGAGACTAGCCTGGCCAGCATGGTGAAACTCCGCTAAAATACAAAAAGTTAGCCATGTGTGATGGTGGGTGCCTGTAATCCCAGCTACTTGGAACGCTGACGTAGGAGAATCACTTGAACCCAGGAGGCAGAGCTTGCAATAAGCCAAAATCGCACCATTGCACTCCAGCCTGGGAGACAAAGCAAGACTCTGTCTCAAAATAATAGTAATAAATTATCTAAACATATTCCACTGTGTTGGACATGATTTACTTTTTATCTATTTTTAAGGCATTTTTTTTCCAATTTTACAATCTTGTATCTTACAAATAATGGTGTGCCTTATTTGTCCTAACAGGGAACTAAAATAGACATCCTCTAGTATATGGGTATTTTGCTTACTAACCTAGACATGGGATTACTGAGTCAAAGGTAAGAATTCTGTGGGAGTGCTGCTACTATAATGTTGTTTATTTTTATTTTCTTTTTGGACATGGGGTCTTGCTATGTTGCCCAGGCTAGATCCAAACTCCTGGGCTCAAGCAATCCTACTGCTTCAGCCTCCTGAGTAGCTGAGATTATAGAACGTTTTTAATATTTTAAGAGTAGACTTGGGCCAGGCATGATGGCTCACACATATAAGAATCACACAAGTGATTCTTGAACCCAGGAGGAGGCAGCTGAAGTGAGCCAAGACAGTGCCATTGCACTCCAGCCTGGGCAACAAGGGCAAAACTCTGTCTCAAAAAAAAGAGTAGACTTGGGTGAATTGTACAATAAACTTATTTTCTGAAGCAATGAACCACTAACTATTTTTTCTGCTCTCTTGGGGCAGGGAGAGGTAGGTTTAACCCGGAAAAGGAGGGCTGTCCTACTACTTCATCTTTCTTAGAAGTGACAAAGGCTTCTAAAAGTTTAGAGAGGGTAAAGATAGAGACTGATAAAGGCAACCAAGACTAGTGGGTATAATCTTTCTAAGAATTCCACATTAGTCAGCTTTCCATCAGCAACTTAAAAGAAAAAGACTATTTAGGCTGGGCACGGTGGCTCACGCCTGTAATCCTAGCACTTTAGGAAGCCAAGGTGGGTGGATCGCCTGAGGTCAGGAGTTCAAGACCAGCCTGGCCATCATGGTGAAACCTCATCTTAAAAAAAAAAGAAAAGAAAAGAAAGAGACTATTTTGTATTTTTTATACTCCTTTGACAAAAAGTAGAATTCAACAACCTAGTTCCCAAAGAGCTCTCTGAAACCCTTCTAATAAGAAGTTCCAGGCTGATCCTTTTGTAGTTCATAAGCATGATGATTGAGTTTTCACGTTCATGTCTGAGATGTACCTCCTTCAAACCTTATAATGACATGGAAACATTACCCATCTCAAGTGAAGAGGAGAAAAAAAAAGTAGTCCCAGGTTTATATTCCTAGAAAAGGTAAATTAGAGGATCTCTTGACTGGAGGATTCCAGACATAGTTAAGAGTATGGATACTGTTCTGCAAACTATACAAAGTCCTTGAGTGCAGAAACCAGCAGCCTTCTCTCCAGTGGGGTAACCAAACTCAAAGAAACTAAAATCTTTAGTTTCCCTTACCTTACAGTCAAGCTCAAAGACAACAAATCTCATCCATGCACTCGAAGATTCCAATCAGTTTTTAATCTTATCCTTTTAAAAAATAAACAGGTTGCCAATGAATATTAGACTTTTCAGGAGACTTTTTTTTTTTTTTTTTGAGAGGGAGTTTCGCTCTTGTTACCCAGGCTGGAGTGCAATGGCGCATTCTCGGCTCACCGCAACCTCCGCCTCCTGGGTTCAAACGATTCTCCTGTCTCAGCCTCCCAAGTAGCTGGGATTACAGGTATGTGCGACCATGCCTGGCTAATTTTTTTGGTATTTAGTAGAGACGGGGTTTCACCATGTTGGCCAGGATGGTCTCGATCTCTTGACCTTGTGATCCACCCGCCTCCGCCTCCCAAAGTGCTGGGATTACAGGCATGAACCACTGCGCCCGGCCCCCAGGAGACCTTCTAACATGGATGATAAAGACCAAAACACAGAGAAAAAAAAACATAATGGCCTGTAATCCCAGCACTTTGGGAGGGTGAGGCAGGAGGATCACTTGAACCCAGGAGCTCCAGACCAGCCTGGACAACACAGTGACCTCATCTCTACAAAAAATTATAAAAACGTAGTCCAACGCAGTGGTGTACAGCTGTACTCCCAGCTATAGGCTGAGCTGAGGTGGGAGGATCATTTGAGCCCAGGAGGTCAAGGCTGCCAAGAGCTGTGATTGTGCCACCACTCTCCAGCTTGGAAAACAGAGGGAGACCCTGTCTTGGGGGGCAGGGGGAGGAAGAAAGGAAAAGGCTGGGTGTGGTGGCTCACACCTGTAATGCCAGCACTTTGGGAGGCTGAGGCGGGAGGATCACGAGGTCAAGAGATCGAGACCATCCTAGCCAACATGGTGAAACCTCAACTCTACTAAAAATACAAAAATTAGCTGGGCATGGTGGTGTGCACCTGTAGTCCTAGCTACTCAGGAGGCTGAAGCAGAATTGCTTGAACCCAGGAGGTGGAGGTTGCAGGGAGTTGAGATCCCCTGGCGCCTGGCAACAGAGCAAGAATCTGTCTCCAAAAAAAAAAAAAAAAAGAAAAGAAAAAACCCACAATCCACAACAGAAGAACTTGAACTATCAGATTAAATTAGCCTATCAAATGCCTAACACATTAAATTTTACCATAATGGAGGATTCTATAAATTTTTACAGTTAAAAAAAAAAAAAATACAAGCCGGGCGCGGTGGCTCAGGCCTGTAATCCCAGCACTTTGGGAGGCCGAGGCGGGCAGATCACCTGAGGTCAGGAGTTCAAAACCAGCCTAGCCAACATGGTGAAACCCCGTTTCTGGGGGGGGGGGGGGGAATACAGGCCAGGCTCGGTGGGTCACACCCGTAATCCCAGCACTTTGGGAGGCCGAGGCAGGTGGATCATGAGGTCAGGAGTTCCAAGACCAGCCTGGCCAACACGGTGAAACCCCGTCTCTACTAACAAATACAAAAATTGGCCAGGCGTGGTGGCATGTGCCTGTAATCCCAGCTATTCCGGAGGCTGAGGCAGGAGAATCACCTGAACCCAGGAGGCAGAGGTTGCAGTGAGCCAAGATTGCACCACTGCACTCCAGCCTGGGCAACAAGAGTGAAACAGTGTCTCAAAAGAAAAAAAAATCAGGAATTAGAATGACTTCAAACTCCTCAATAACACTAGAAGACATAATGGAGCAAAGCCTCCTAGATTTTGAAGGAAAACTATCCCCAATTTAGAATAACCAGTAAAACTATCAGGTGAGGGATAGAACTAGAGAGATGTTTTCTAACATTCACAATTACAAAAATTTTAACCTCCATGATTCCTTTCTCAAGGGATTTGTCAGGTGAATAAAGCAAGAGAAAGACTTAGGATATAGGAAACAGGACATTCAGCACAGGAAAGTAGTGAAGGAAATCCCCAGAAGGCCAATGGAGAGAAATCCCTGGATGACAACTGTGCACCAGACACAAGAATCCACAATTATGTGACCCTTTCTAGCAGTCTCCAACTATTATCTACACAATCACCTTTTCTTCTCTTGAGGGTGCCAGAGAGGGAGGATGGGAGGAAAGCAGCTGGAGGAAGAGCAAAGAGAGGGAAGGAGGGAGGGAAGGAGGAAGAAAGAATGGAAGGAAATAGCCCACATTTTCAAAGTTGGCCCCTTTAAGTATATTCTCACCCCTGTGGAGGAGGTGAACGGTAAAACCTGTGCTAGGTCTTGAGATACCCAAGGTGGTTGAACAACATTAATAACATAGTAAGCACCACAGTGTTTTCCAAAGCAGGGGATATATCCTATTCATGGTTTACAAAATGATTATAAGGGATATGTATACAAGATATAAATTAAAATAATATAATAAGGAAAAAGTCTCAGTTATATGCTAGTATACATTTCATACTTCTTTAGGACTTTCTAGGCCAGGTACGATGGCTCACAACTGTAATCTCAGCACTTTGGAAAGTCAAGGTGGGTGAACTGCTTGAGCTCAGGAGTTCAAGGCCAGCCTGGGCAATATGGTGAAATCCTGTCTCCACTAAAAATATAAAAATTGGCTGGGCATTGTGGTGGGCACCTGTAATCCCAGTTACTTGGGAAGCTGAGGCAGGAGAATCTCTTGAACCTGGGAGGTAGAGGCTGCAATGAGCGGAGATCATGCCACTGCACTCTAGCCTGGGTGACAGAGGGAGACCCTGTCTCAAAAACAAACAAATAAAAAAATTAATAATGTTGTTTTTAGGACAGGTGTGGTGGCACCTGGCTGCAATCCCAGCACTTGGGGAGGCCGAGGGGGGTGGATCACTTGAGGTCAGGGGTTCAAGACCAGCCTAGCCAACATGGTGAAACCCCATCTCTATTAAAAATACAAAAATTTAGCTGGACATTGTGGTGGGCACCTGTAATCCCAGCTACTTGAGAAGCTGAGGCAGGAGAATCTCTTGAATCTGGGAGGCGAAGGTTGCAGTGAGCCAAGACTGCACTACTGCACTCTAGCCTAGGTGAGAGAGTGAGACTCCATCTCAAAAAAAAAAAAAAAAAAAAAAGCCGGGCTTGGTGGCACATGCCACCAAGCTACTTGGGAGGCTGAGACATAAAAACTGCTTGAACCCACGAGGCGGGGACTGCAGTGAGCCAAGATCACACTACTGAGTTCTAGCCTGGGCAACAGAGTGAGATGAGACTCTGTCATTCCTGAATGAATGAATAAATAAATAAGAGTGAGAGAGAGAGTGCGTGTGTGTGTGTGTATTTTGGCCAGGCGCAGTGGCTCACACCTGTAATTCTAGCACTTCTGGAGGCCAAGGCAGGCGGATCACCTGACGTTAGTTTGAGACCAGCCTGTTGAAACCCTGTGTCTACTAAAAATACAAAAACTAGCCAGACATGGTTAGTGGGTGCCTGTAATTCCAGCTACTCGGGAGACTGAGGCAGCAGAATTGCTTGACCCTGGGAAGAGGAGGTGGCAGTGAGCTGAGAATGCACCACTGCACCCCAGCCCGGGCAACAAGACTCTGTCTCAAAAAACAAAATAATAATAATAATAAAATTATAAAAAATAATGTTGCTTTGTTTTATAATAAAAGTAGTTGTGGAATCTAGCAGTATGTGTGATTTCTCCTGGCAGTTCTGAGTGCATTTTGACCATATGCTTTAAAAGAACTTTTTTTTTTTTTTTTTTTTTGAGATGGAGTTTAGCTCTTGTTACCCAGGCTGGAGTGCGATGGCTCGATCTCGGCTCACCGCAACCTCCACCTCCTGGGTTCGGGCAATTCTCTTGCCTCAGCCTCCTGAGTAGCTGGGATTACAGGCATGCACCACCGTGCCCAGCTAATTTTTTGTATTTTTAGTAGAGACGCGGTTTCATCATGTTGACCAGGATGGTCTCGATCTCTCGACCTCGTAATCCACCTGCCTTGGCCTCCCAAAGTGCTGGGATTACAGGTGTGAGCCACCACACCTGGCCCTTAAAAGAACTTCTAACAGTGTTCTACCCCTCATTTTTGGGCAAATCAACCACAAGGCGGTACAAGGTAGCTCACACCTGGAATCCCAACACTTTGGGAAGATTGCTTGAGCCCGGGAGGTAAGAGCCTGGGTAACACTCCAGTCTGGGTGACAAAGCAAGACCCTTTCTCAAAAAAAAAAAAAAAGAAGAAGAAAGAAGAAGGAAGAAGAATGAAGTGGGGAGAGGAAGGGGAAGGGGAGGGGGAGGAGGAAGAAGAAAGGGGAAAGAGGGAGTGAAGGAAGGAAGAAAAAATCAACACAAGATAGTGAACTATAGCCATTCACCCTTGAGTACACAACTACATTCACAGCAAAAATGCCTGCACCTACACTGCCCGTCACCTATGATGATGCCATCATTCAACCCTTTTCTCTGTAACTCAATAGCCTCAAACTTCTTTCATCTTTTCTTCCCTTTTCTTATTTTTTGAGACAGGTGACTCACTATGTTGCCCAGGCCTTGAACTCCTGAGCTCAAGCAACACTCCTGCCTCAACCTCACAAAGTGCTCAGATTACAGGCATCAGCCACTATGTCTGCCCCATCTTCCAATTAAAGGTAAAGTTCTATATTTACCATGATATATATTTACTAGGAATTTAAAGTATCTTTTAAACTATGTTAATATTTATATTAGAATTTATATTCTTTTTTTTTTTGCGACAGAGTCTCACTTTGTTGTCCAGGCTGGAGTACAGTGGCGTGATCTCAGCTCACTGCAACCTCTGCCTCCCAGGTTCATGCGATTCTCCTGCTCCAGCCTCCCAAGTAGCCAAGATTACAGGCTCCCACCA